ACTATAAAATGTCAATTGAAATTAGTATTGTTCAATGGCTCTTGTATCAGCATTATTCAGAAAAATGATATTCATTGCACTTCCTTCTTTGTATCTTTTAGTTATTACATTGATTGCGAATGAAAAGGAGGAAAATTGATATCATGTACCTGCCCTCGGTCACGGCCTCTGTAATGTTTTATATCTTGATACTTTTGTCCCCCACAAAATGTGGTGTTAGTGGGTTTTTCTAGCCTTGGGACGATTTAACGATTGGTCCATTGCATAGACATGAATCTATATTTGAGGATTTCTAGCATATCTAATAACTTTGAGTCGTTGGGTTGCTGTATTATTGACATATACGTACGTCTCCTTTTATTGCTATTTGCACAAAATATGTTATCGTCGTGACAAGTATAGCCCGTGTGTGCTGGTGTGGTGATTTAACAAATATGTATACACATTCTTCCTTTTATATATATTCAGATAACAAATATGGACTTTTTCATTTTTCGTAAGCCTTGCACGAGTCACATGCAAACTAATTTTGCTGCATTGATTATCAAAAAGCTTAGTTCTCCTGTTAACTTCACTGCATAAACATTATTCATTATACAGAGAGAGCACAACAAAAGACAACTATATTACGTTAAATCTGTTCCTGTTAATGGTCAATTGAACGAAATGAGTAGCAAAGTAAATGGGTAGCAAAGTAAATGGGGCGTGTTTGACTATCTCTGGTCTGATCTTACGGTGTTCAATATCATACAAAATTAAGATGATTGTTCATTGAAATTATATTTACAGCGAATACTTGCGTACAAGAAAGATACAAAATCTAACTGTAGCTTCTTCATGCTCTTGATTATGTTTCCCCATTTTGAATGAATAAGCAATATAAAACATTATTAATTAACTACACTGTTATTGGACTTAATATGATGAAAACTGCCTATGCAATATAAAGGTGTCAACTCGGCCAATACAGAATAACTCGGCCAATATAGATTTTTTTTCTGTATTGGCCGAGTTCTGATCCGGCCAATACAGGATTTCGGAACGTCTCTAGTTTTTAGATCGAAAGTCACGATAAACACAAACTGAAAGTAAACAGTTGTTTGGAAGACGCAGTTTTCATTTAGTTACTCACCATAAACATGCTGAAACGTTCAGTATGGCATATATTTCAGGCTTAAGACGGTCACATTCATTTAAAAAGCATTTTGAAAGCAGACGATGGAATTATTTCAGGTTTGGGAAACGAGTAGATTATCACAAAGTTCATTTCTTGTCGACCTCATAATTTCACGATGGTACAAATCGATTTACTGTTTACTTTCGCTTCTCAGACTCATGTTTTGTAAACTGTCATTTATTTTTAAACCCGAACCAGGCATATGCATTCTGGAAGGGTGACCTGTAATTGTGCAAATCTTCGTTCTTTGGTTAGTTGCCTTATGGATAGTTGTATCATTTTCAACTCCTACATTATTTTTTCAGTTTGTTTCTGCATAACACATGCAATGGCAGTACCTTTCCAATTACTATTTATGTGTTGTGTCTAAATTTAAATTGTAACACTTTATAGTGACTGGAAACGGTAGAAAAATTCATTAGATGAGAAAATGCTGAAGACACCTGGAAACGACACCAGATCATTAGATAGAGCATCTTATAAAAAGAAACTGAGATTTGGATAGTTCCACTTCAAGGTAAAAATGTTTATCTCTTGTGAAATGAAATAAAAAAATATTGTAACACTGTAGTTAATTAATAAAGATACTATTACGTGTATTTCTGTATTGGCCTTGTTATTGGTCCTCGGCCAGCTGTATTGGCCTTCGGCTTCGCCTCAGGCCAATACAGCAAGCCTCGGACCAATAACAAGGCCAATACAAAAATACTCACGTAATAATATCATATTTAAGCCACAATGACTTTGCAATACAAATCACAATATTACGTTATAAAATCATTCTATTGTCTGTTTTGTAAATGAAGTTTTTGGGTTTTTTTAAATAGGAAAATATGGACTTAGTAATTTTTTCGTGTGGTGTAAACATTCAATTACTAATTAAACTTTCCTGGAATCGTTATTAAATAGTACCCTTATATATCTCCTTTTTCATTTTTTGAACCGAATGATTTTTTTTGGGGAAAAAATATTTATGTATATGGGTTGTCTCAAATATTAAAATCAATAGAACTAATGACATCATCTAGATGTTCAATTATGATGGTATGCAATATTGTTATTAAAAACGGAATGTATATGACAATAAAGGGATGTCGAGCCGGATGAACATTAGAAAATAATCTCCCGGTCTACTGGGAAGTTGAGAAGTATGATTTAATTCTGTCACTACTGTATTTTATCGTGATCTTTTACGATGAGTTAAACAGTGCTTACTTGTAACAGAAAGATCAAGAAAACCCCTAGTGCCGACTTAGGCGGTCAATATTTACCAATCACTGCTATGCTACGTATGTTTTTGTTTAATTTCTTGATTAGTCGATTGAGGGTTGCTTAAGATCAGGCGACAAAAGAAACATTCATAATCAGGATGATAGCATTCAATGAGACATCAATATACTCTTCTAACCAATGAATTAAGTCCTTTTTAACGTGATAACTGCCCGTATGAAGAACACATATTATTCTAAAATGAAATATTGCGACTCCGAACCACATCAGACGGCTTTACTTTTACTCTTATCTCAGATATTTCTCAAATTTCAATGTCTAAATCTTTAGTGTGTGAACACTCGAGTGGCAAACACGAGAACGCCAAGGCAGTTGTACATGACTTTGAAAATATTATACATGTATATATATGTACGGATGAGTTCTCATAAAAATAGTCATGTTTTACAAAAAGACACCTGTATGTTGTAACACGGCTACACACACATGAAATAGTAATCGTATCACACAAAACATGAGAATATTTCAAATATAAAAGTAGAATATAGAAATACCTCTGTGGAGATATGGTATGATTGTCAATGAGACAACTATCCCCCCAGAGATCAAAGGACGAGGATGTAAACAGAAATATAAATGTATATAGGTCACCGTATGCTTCCTTCAACTTAGTGCAAAATTCCTACGTATAGTAAGCTATAAAAAACCCTGTCATGACACAATTCAAAACATTTCAAGAAAGAAAACCAACAGCCTGATTGATGTTTAAAGCAATAAACGAAAAACAAAGACAGACAGCAACCAACGACAACCACTAAATTACAAACGCCTTAATTTTGGACAGGCATATAAAGATTGTGGCGGGGTTAAACCGCTCAACCGTCCCCTGCTAAGTCGATACCAGTCATCCAAATGGATTATAATATCCTTTTGGGATATGATAGAACAAATGGGAAATACATTTACAGTACACAGCTTTTTTTATTTCAGCGGAAATATTGAATAGCGAATTCGTTAAGATCAATACAAACAACTTTAGTCAGAAACTTTTCTCGAAAAGAAGTTAGCTTCTACATTGATCCCTCTGAAAACCAACATCTTCTAAGGTATCAATCTCATAAAAAATCCGGTATCCAGAAAAATTTCTTACCAAAATTGTTGCCTTTCGTGTAATCAATTGTACTTTGTTATATTTTCCCTAAAATCCAAAACAAAATATTCTTCACAGTAATTGATATCCCATTTGGGGGTATTATACCCAAAACTGAGAGTTATTATAACCCACTTGGGGTGACTGGTCCTAACCTACCTTGCCTGGGACTGAGGAATACGAATATTGTTTGGTTACAGCCCTACATAAAAACATACTATAAAAGGCTCGACTCATTAAATCGGCACTAAGCACATGAAAAAGTTTTTTGGAGCTTATTCTTTTATATAGGATACTATGGTAGATAGACCCTTTAATCCGCCACGAACAAATACTGTGATATTTCTTCCAGTGGAAATAATATTGCAGAATATTTCTTCAATGCGTTTGGAATTTATATCATAAAGACACTTCTATTATGTGACACAGAAAGCTACAAGTTAAAATATAAAACAATTCAAAAGAGAAAATCAGCAACCGGAGTTATATTACAAAGAATCGAGAAATATTGCCTACAGAAACCTATGATAATCATTCACTTGCATGCTTAACCACTGAATTACAGGCTTAACCACTGAATTACAGGCTTAACCACTGAATTACAGGCTTAACCACTGAAGCAAATGCTTGAGCACTGAATTGTCATAAATATACTAGAAATAACATGCATTTGCTATTTATTATAAATTCCTAGTTTACTATCCACAGCGGTCACTGATAATATATACAGAGAGATTATGAATCTATACATGTTATTTTAGTATATTTATGTTAATATATTAAAGGAAACGGGACTACACATATGAAATTTAAAGAAAACAAAAAATAACGGATTATAGAAAAGGGCTAAAAAATTGTCCTGTCTCCAAGTACTTATGTGAATTACATGCTGTAATACACTGAATGACCACCAGGTTCTTCTCCTGCAATATCTTGAACAAAATGACATTCTAAAATTGTTCATTGAAAGGGGCTAAAATGTCCTAATTCGTTTGCAGAATGACATTTCAGAAACAAATAACCAAAAGGCATTATCTGAGGCCATGTTTGTTTTCTCCTCAATATCACATAGTTCACCTCTCATTTACAATACCACCCCATGTGTCATGCATTTATTACTTATTAATATCAAACACTGGATAATTATGTACTAATCTGCCTTCGGCCAAATTGCATGTACGAATATTTCATCTTGTTTATTTTTTGTGTGTTTTTTTGTTTTTGTTTTGTTTTATTATAATCAATGATCTGAGACGTTTTTGGACTAGCTCCATGTTATATTACCCGTATTTATATATGTTTTGAGACCACAAAAAAGGGGAAGCAAAATACTTGGTGTCCTATTTGTACCTATTAACTGTGAGATAACAATGAATAAACTTAGAGCAAAGTGTATGTTATCATGTAGATTTTATAACTGTTAAAATACAGGTAAACACTTACCGAAGTAAACAATGCAGAGTAATACACTGAATAAATCCATCATCTATTTTTCAAAGGTACTATTCAATGTACCGTTGGAAATGCCGATTTAAAATCACACTAAATACTCACATACTGCAATAAATTTATATAAACTTGTTAAAGGTACGGAGCTTTATGGCAAAAATACTGATCAATTACTTGATGGGTCATGTGACTTTCTGACAGTTGACAACTTTTAAGTACATATTCATATATAAGGATTTGTTGAACGAATTAATCAACGCAAGTAAATATTAATACAGGATATATCTAAATTTATATGTAAAAATTTTAATCTTAAACCGAAAGAAGAAATAAACAAAATATTGTAAAGTCGGTGCTAATAGTCCATTATGAGGGAAAGGTTTTGTTATGGGGCATCAGTTTAAGAGGAAGTCCAAGAGATATTATTTAATGATTTAAAGGGTAAGGATAGGATGGAACATTAAATTTTGTTAGAATATTTTTATTTTTATTTTTCCGAGTTCAAAATTCATATAAAATCATGAAGTTATGAAAAAATACGGGTTGTATAATATATAAGTACATGCAACGTTTTAGATAAATTATAAAAGAAACAAGGTTTGTGAACATTTTCTTAGATTATTTGAGCTTTTTAATCATATCCCGCTTTATGATGGACTGATTTATCGTGAGTATTATATTTCTTTTCTCTGCGTAAAACATATTGAAATTGAGGAATAAAACAGTAAGAAAATAGTTAAACAATTGAAACAACAATTTATCAATGTCATTGTTTAATGCATCACATAACGACGAATATCGTTTTACTGAGTAGCTATCTTAAGTGACACACTTATATATAATATATAATAATTGTTTGTGCTGTATTTGGACCCCTCTACCAAGAAATTTGTTTTGCATGCACACGTATAAAAATTGCGGTTTTTATCCAATGCAATTATAGGTTTGAACGTTGTTTTCAATTTAGACTTGTTTATATATATATATATTTTCCGCAAGTTTATTGTTTTCTGTTTGGTATTAGATTAATAATTTTTAAAGATCCATTTTGTTACATCTTGTGATACGTTTATTTGGCAATCGCCAATGGCAGTCAGCAGGGTTTAAGAACATCAGTTGTTCGACATGTCAGTCAAATGCGTTTTGTTGAAATATACTTTTTCACTTTTTTGGTATTTTGGAAAATGTTGTTTGTGCTGTATTTATACTCCTCTATCAAGAAATTTGTTTTGCATGCACACGTATAAAAATTGCGGTTTTTATCCAACGCAATCATAGGTTTGAACGTCGTTTTAAATTTAGACTTGTTTATATATATAATTACTGTAAATATCAGAACAATGTTAAATCTGCAAATTTGCGGAAACAAATTTTTGTTCTTCCCTCGCCGGGATTCGAACTCATGCTATTTGGATATCGAGACACTGTCCAGCGCTCTAGAACACTCGGCCACCTAGACCGAACTAAAAATTCAGATTTCGGTGGCCTAGTGTTAACTTTCCTCGTCAGTAGAATCTAGAGTTGTAACACAGTACATGATATATTAGGCACGAAGATGGCGTTGATTGCAGATAAGCTAAGTTACCAATACTGGAGGATCGTATGATGAAGTCACAGAAATAATTATTTTGATAAGTACGTATAAACAAGTGCCAACTCTAGGACATATCCGTCCATTGGATCACCAGTGAAGGTGATACACGGCTGAAAACACATATTATGAATATAATTACTCTAAATATCAGAACAACAATGTTAAATCTGCAAATTTGCTTCCGCAATTTTTTTTTCTTCCCTCGCCGGGATTCGAACTCATGCTATTGGGATATCGAGACAACACCGCCTGCACTGTGTCCAGCGCTCTAAACCACTCGGCCACCTAGGCTGAACTGAAAATTCAGCTTTCGGTGGTGTAGTGTTACCTTTCCTCGTCAGTAGAATCTAGAGTTGTAACACAGTACATGATATATTAGGCATGAAGATGGAATTGATTGCAGATTAGCTAAGTTATCTGTACTGGAGGATCGTATGATGCAGTCACAGAAATAATTATTTTGATAAGTACGTCTTAACAAGTGCCAACTCTAGGACATATCCATCCATTGGATCACCAGTGAGGGTGATACACGGCTGAAAACACATATATTCATAATTACTGTATATATATTCAAGAGTCTATCCTAAATTGAGGTAAATTCTGTGGCCTTCCAATAACCGTTTCGATTCCTAACATCACTGAAGAGACATTAATTGTCGAAATCCGGATATGGTGTACAAAAAATCTTTGCACCTTTGTTTGCGGTATACAATCTTCGCCGCAAGTTAATTGTTTTCTTTTTGGTATTAAATTTAAAAGTAAGATCCATTTATTACACCTTGTGATCCGTTTATTTGGCAATCGCCAATGGCTGTCAGCAGGATTTAAGAACATTTGTTGTTCGACCTGTTAGTCAAATGCGTTTTGTTAAAATATACTTTTTCACTTTTTTGGTCTTTTGGAAAATGTTGTTTGTTCTGTATTTAGACCCCTCTAACAAGAAATTTGTTTTGCATGCACACGTATAAAAATTGCGGTTTTTATCCAACGCAATCATAGGTTTGAACGTTGTTTTCAATTTAGACTTGTTTATACGTATAAAAAATGCGGTTTTTATCCAACGCAATCATAGGTTTGAACGTTGTTTTCAATTTAGACTTGTTTATATTTTTTCGTTTGGGCTTGTATTATATTTGCCTTAGGGTTTATATGATCCGTTCATCCTATTTTGACTCCTCAAAATTCAAGAGTCTATCCTAAATTGAGGTAAATTGTTGGGCTTTCCAAATACCGTTTCGATTTCTAACATCACTGAAGAGACATTATTTGTCAAAATCCGGATATGGTGTACAAAAACCTTTGCACCTTTTGTTTGCGGTATATCATCTTTTCCGCAAGTTTATTGTTTTCTGTTTAGTATTAAATTTAAAATTAAGATCCATTTATTACATCGGTTATCCGTTTATTTGGCAATCGCCAATGGCAGTCAGCAGGGTTTAAGAAAATTTGTTGTTCGACCTGTTAGTCAAATGCGTTTTGTTAAAATATACTTTTTCACTTTTTTGTTCTTTTGAAAAATGTTGTTTGTGCTGTATTTAGACCCCTCTAGCAAGAAATTTCAACGTTTTTGCATGCACACGTATAAAAATAGCTCAGTAATACAGGTAAGTTTTGGTCTATTGATTTAATCCAAAATTCTGAACATCATAATATAAAACAAACCTCAATACTCAAATATACGTGACTGTGTATATTTACATCCCAAAATGAGTGAAAAATAAAACTTAGTATTTTTTATTGATGCCGTTTGGATGATTTACATTTAGTTCCTTTATCCAAAAGCTTTCCCGAACCTGTCGCTGGGCATCACTCTTATATTATGATGTTCAGGATTTTGGATTAAATCAATAGACCAAAACTTACCTGTATTACTGAGCTATTTTTATGCATATAATCAGTATTGTTAAAATCATTGACACTGAAGAAGGCTATTTGTTAAGCCGAAATATTTGCCAACACGATTTAATAACAACATCTTCGTATAATACCATCTTATATTAGTATCGGTGTGCAAATCTCTAGACTTATATAATTTTTTCCTTATCTGCACAGTATCGTCTATTCTAGACGATCCGGTACATAGTAAATTTGCTGGTTGGTCCTTTTTATAGACTTCTCTCTCAATCTCTCTCTTTCTCGATCTCGATCTCGATATAGATAATGTGTCACACAATATAATTGTTTAGGGTGGTGTTTGATTTTTATCTATAAAACGTGAACTAAACTGGAACCAGATTATACAACATACTTTACAGAGACGTCCTTTCAGACATCCTTTTATCAAAAATAGATCGAATTTGAAAACCATAAAACAGTAAGACAAATTCAAACAACGATCGCTTTGAGCATGTTGATTTAAAAACATAACCATCTGAATTATTCTCATATCATTTCCGCTCCGTCATCAATTGTTTATGATACTTGATGTTGAAAAATGTTGTAAAGATCATAATTATTTACTTTTTTTTATGGGAAATTTTAACTACTCCTTTGTTATACATATTTTGGAATGTGTTTTCTTTTAATGAATATTATGTATGCGACAACGATTTAGTTTGAAATTATGCATAATTCTAAGAGTTCAAAATTGTAACTGAAATCAAATCATAGGTTATTTGCTGAAAATATGAAAAGGTAGTTTAAAGATACCGTGATTCATATGAAATATTTTAATTGAGTTTGAACACATATTTAAACGCTGAAAACATTTGTTATAGAAATCTCTTTTATGTTTCATCAGTTATATAAAAAAAAATGACATTCTACTGTTGTTTACGAGTTTGGTTCATGACAAAAAGTCTATCCAATATCCCTTTAACATGATCATAAATTTTACCATGTATTTTCTATGTTGCAATTATAAACGAAAAGGTTAAGGACTAGTTTTGTCCTAAAATTCGAAGTACATCTGATGAAAGAGTTTTTACATTTTTTAAACACTTAAGTCGATTCAAATAGTTTATGTAAAATATTTGAACTGATTTGGTCACGAAAGACGCTCAAATTCAAGCTAGAGTATCAAAAATCTATCAAATATGCCATATAACGTCACTTTTCAGATGGTTTTTGTCTAAAATGGAAGTGGTCGTAATTCGTGTTCAGTCTCAACCTTTATATATATTATGTATTATCATCAAATACAACATACATTTAAATATTAAGACTGAACATAAATGCGGCCACTTCCATTTCAGACAAAAACCGTCTTAAAATTGTGACGATTTCAGTAATATATATTGCATGAATTTATGATGCTAGTATTGTCACAGAATAGAAGTTCCTTCATAATATAAGTTACAAATGGAAAAAATATTCTGGAATATTATTTCCACTGGAATAAATATTACAGTAAATGTTCCTAACGGAATAAATGGTATAGCATATTTGTTCCAACAGGAACAGATATTATGACATTGTTTATAACAAAGTTTCCAGTGGAACTTCTGTTAGGCGGAACAAATATACGTTGACAGTATCTGATGCATGTGCATTGTATTGTCAAAAACAGCCCATATTTATGTAACAGAAGTATACTTCTTTCCAATAAATAGCTAAAAGTTTACATGTCAACAAATTCATAAAAATGCTA